ATGTATGGTTGCAGGACATATAAATCAAAATACTTTGGATCACTTTACACTTCATGAGTAAGCTGCAATCAGCACTTACACTTACCACACTGGACAAAAACTGTTGAGACACTAGTGCAATAGCCACTACATTAGCTTTGCCAGGGGAGGGACAAACCAATAGGAAAAGCAAAGGGAAATCACTTCATAAAGCTTAAGTGATAACATGAAGGGAAAAAAGTTAAGAGTTTTGTTTATTTTGGCAGTAATATTAACCATGTCGACAGAAGTGAGCATTAATCTAAATATACTATCTGCATATTACAGACTCAACTTACCATCAAACGTTATATGTCTGAGAACACCTTGTATTATAGCACCATAAAACCTGAGTAAACCCTGCAAAAGAAATTACACTTCAGAGTTTTTAGGGAAACGAGTATTCATTGTAATCTGTATTAAGTAAAGAAACCATAGGACTCTTGGTCACTGGTGTCCACTTTTAAGATTGGAGGTGTCTACTCAATAAACATTATGTAAAAAAAAACTTGCAGAAACTCATGTCAATTGCTACAATTGGCAACAACTTTGTTGAGAAATCCCCCTCAGATGGGGTTCCTTTGGAGAACAAAACAATAATTCACACCCCTCCCCTCCATTCAAAGTTGGGGTGTTTGTTCTTATCTACAGGTGACTCGCACAGAGGCAAAACTTGCAATGAGGGGGTGGGGGAAGGAAAGATATATTTTTCCCTTTTTTTAGTTGGAAACATGTCAGGGCAAAGCCAAATATGGTTAAGTGTAATTTTCCTCTGAGTGGAATGAAATAACTGGAAAATGTTTTCTTTACACACTGGCCACTGCTGAGCCTAACCCTGACTGAGCCACCCTTTCAGTTCAGTTGAAAGAGTGCAGGTCTGCTGTTAGTCTACAGACATCCTTTAGGCTCATAACACAAATATCCTCCCCAATGTTCGTGGCGCAGGAACACGAGAATGTCGTGGGAGGCTAGTCTGCTGTTGGGTCACCTGAGGTTTCAAAACACTGGCTGGACCACAAAACAGGGACTTCAAAAATCTAACTAGATCATGACTGTGAATTAGATCATGTAACAGTTCAGATAATGATGTCATTACACAGTGACCCAGGGTGTTCATTAGGCATTGGAGATCTGTTTACTACACAGAATTCTACGGCTAATGCTCAAAGGCCTAAGACTATTTTTTATTCAGACATGGAGCTTCTTTTAAAATATTCTCCTGTAACGTTACACATTTCTGCTGCTACTAGAATTCTAAATGAAAATCCTGTGACAAAAAGCCATTTGCCTACCCTCCTTCATCTTTGGCTTCCTTATCACATCATAGGGGACGTAAAAGAACAAAATCACTGCTGTTCAGAAAGAGAGGGCAAAATATATCCTGGTGTTGTAGTGTATCATTCATTAAGGGAAAGGAAATGTTATGGGTCCACAATACTTGGTGTGATGCTGCTGCATTAGAGACATTTCAGATTACCATCGAGATTAAAGACAAAGTAAAATTCAACTGACCTTGTCATGTTGGCTGCAGAAGCCTTTTCTTTTTCTTGGTATGTTCATATCAATCTTGGCTCGTACTATTGTCATGCTTGAGGTAACCAACATAATGTGACCTAAACCTTAAAAACAACAACAATGGAAATTAGCTGAAAAAGGTTATAGTTAAGAGAATGCTTAATGACATTGTTCATATTAATTTTAGTACACAATACCAGTCTGTCACTGTCAAAAACAACAGTACTATTCAGGACTACATCCACTCGGACGATCATACTAAACCTAGTTATGTAATATATGACTCCAGGGTTCAAACCTCTCACAATAATACAATCATATATATATATTGTTGTTCCAGAAAATATTCATACCCCCAGTAGATGGTATTATTATTAGTTTGGCTCCCCACCCCACCCCAGAAATTCTACTTTAACTTCATACTTTTCTTTAAAAATTTTGGCCTTAGATCTCCTCCTCCCCCTTGAAATTGTTATCAACCATCCACTAATGGGGTGGGTAGGTGTATTTTGTACCACCAAACAGCTTGAAATAACAACCATTGGTACCTTCATGAAGCAAGATGGCTCCCAGATCAGTATGCTGTGTTGGATCACATGCCATCTCTGAAACACAACATATTCATTCACCAGAGCAATAATAAAAAAAAGAATCAAGGGAACTGAAGAACAAAATAAGCTTTGACCTTCAGTTGTGAGACTGAAAAAACATGCTCATCAATTTTCTATGCTAAACACTAAAATTCATTTCCAATAAAGTTGTCTCTAGGCTAAATCTAAACTGCTTAAATCCTACAGTGTAATGTGGGGGGTTACTTGACCAATATTTGGGTATAGGTAAGCTGCTGCGGGTTTGAAACCCTGTCCCTGTTTAGGACAAAAAAAATTCTAAAATACATACCCTGCTTAGGCATGAAAAAGTTTGTGCTGACGATAAAGTTCATTCTGAAGTTGAAACAAAATTGTCTTTTGTCTGTAAAGAATGATTAGGGCTATGAGGTATAGGAAATTCTGAACCTGATTAGAATGTCTAAAATGTTTGTTAAAACAATTGTCATGTTCATGTTAATTTATGTTTGTGCGGTTTCATGTACAAGTACTTAATTATATTTATATTTCTTGCGGATTTTAAAAGATTTCTAGATATCAGTTTCAGTTAAGTAGATTCTGTTAGGTGTTCCAGTATAAGCATCAAAAGAATTTATTGGAAAATATCAGAGCAAATCTCATAATCCAGAATTTTCCTAGCCCGATCGCATATTGGTCGGGATTAGGGATTTTCGAGCAAAATCAGCAGAAAACTGACAAGATAGGGATGGTTAGACAGTCTGTATTCAAGGAAGAGTTACGTTGTAGCACTTGAAGCACGAGTTTTATATACCTGCCAACTTTTTCTGAGATATAAGCGTGAGAGTTTTATCAAGGGAGTGCTGGGATTTTTGAAGACGACATGATCATTTCCGAAGATTCTCGAAGAAGTCCGAAGTCTTCCGAAAAAGTCCGAAGTTTTCCGAAGACGTCCGAAGTCTGCCGAAGTCTGCCGAAGGCGAGCTCACTCCCAGTGCTTTTCACTTCAAAAAGGAAGGTACATGGGTCTGAGTTAACATATGTTTGGAAATTGTGTCAAGCAAGACGGTAACAACATTTTTCAATCAGGCATGAGAAATTGGCCCGCAAGCGTGAGCCGGCGTGAGATCAAAGTTTTCAACCCGCAGGCGTGAGACTCACGCCTAAGGCGTGAGAGTTGGAAGGTATAGTTTTACACCAACTTTTGTGGTAGAGTACTCACCTACTCTTTCAAGGGCTATCAAATGCCAGTATTCTTTGAGAAGTGTGAATTTTCTGTTTAATTCCAAGTCTATGGTATGGTAGGCGCCCATCTATTGAACAAAGGAAGAAGTTTGATCGGGTTATCAGGTGTGTGATTGCAAATATCAATAATTTTACTTACTGAAAAAACAACTAATTGTGATCTCCACACCAAAGTGTACACCAACCAGCTGAAAACAAGTGGTGTCCATTAAAACATGTAAAAACAGCTCACAGCATTAGCAATCACTTATTCTAACTGGAAATGTAATTTCTAAGGGATTAAATTACAGTGACTAAATCAAATTCTAAGATAACGAAAACACAAAATCATCATCAGTAATATTGTGGAAGTAGCACCAGCGAGAAATTTTAAACCATCATCAGAATTTTCCATCGAGTTCCTATGCCTTGACAATGATGGTCATATTTTTGGAATATTAGGTGGCATGTAGTTTCAATATCTCTTCGATAAACCTGCTAGATGTCTATGATTCATTAGATAATTTTATTTTCTTTACCTTGACATACTGGTTTTCCTCTACATTACGTCCTTTGATCCTTAACATGCACGCCTGAGTATCAAACTCAATGCCCTCCACTGCTATGGCCAATGATTTTCTAACCTTGTTGCTACTCACTGATCCTGTAGCAGACTCAGTTTGGACACGTCTGACAGAAAATAAATATAAGCAAACATTTTATGCGGAATTTCTTACACACCCTACCTAACACTACTCTACCTGGTCCTTGAGATCCCTTGGAGGTACTCTCCTAGATAAGTTATACATTACAGGTTAAGGAAGTCTTGCATAAGATCATGGATCTTTTCCTTCAATAAGGGCTTGTCAGAACATTTTTCTTGCTTGGTGTAGAATAAAGCAATTTTAAAAATGTCTCCCTCTCTCAATAGCTTGATGGAAATAAGTCACATGCACCGGCATGTTGAGAGCTGATATGACATGAAACATGAGCCACAGAAATTGTGGTTGGTGTAAACTATTTTTCTAATTTATGCAAAATTATTCCCATAAACGACTAGCAATGGTGAATCACAGATGCCCCCTCTCCGATTTTTTTTCTGTACACAGGCTAAATTTCTTCCTGGAATAAGGGCCTTGAACCACATACAAAAAATGATAATATCATGAGTACAATGGGGATTAATTCTTCATTGTTTACCCTAATACAAAAAGACGATCAAGCTGCCACATGATTGTACCTAATAGTTGTTGATTTAAGCCGATCCCCCACAGCTATCAGGTTATAAGCATGCCACATATCTTCAGCCTCCTCCGGCGCAAGTACCACAGACCTAGAAAAATTGAAAATTTAACATTACAACATGAAGTAAATTAGTACTTGGAGGTACAGGTGATATTTTTTCTGTTATCTCTCGCATTTAATGTCAGTTGATATCCTGCAATTGTCTCCCACTCTGAGTTCTTCTTCTTCTTCTTTTTACTCAGACAGCGAGAAATATTTGAAAGGAATGGTCCATCTGTCCGTCCATCTGTGGACCAGATCATAAAGTATCCAGTCTGTCTGTCTGTCTGTGAGGCTAGTCCATAGTTAAGTATCCAGTCCATCCATCCATCCGTGAGGCCAGTCCATAAAGTATTCAGTCAGTCCTTCGACAACCCTCCAAGTTAAAGTTTTTTCTTGGTCGCCCTTTGGTGACCAATTCTTTTAATTTAGAGAGACTTTTTTACAAATCAAGTCGCCAGCTTCAAAATTTTACGCAACATGGTGACTAAAGTGGTCGCAACTTGGAGGGTTGTTCCATTTGTGGGCCAGTCCATAAAGTACATGTATCCAGTCTGTTTGTCCATCTGTAAACCAGTCCATAAAGTCTCCAGTTTGTCTTTCCCTCTGTGAGGCCAGTCTATGAAGTATCCTTTTCGTATTTCCCTCCATAGGGCCAGTCCATAGAGTATTTAGTCTGTCTGTTCTTAATCCAGTTCATAAAGTATCCAGTCTGTATGTCCATCCATGAGGCCAGTCATTAAAGTATCTGGTCCATCCATCCATCAGTGGGCCAGTCCATAAAGTGGTATATGGATAATTATTATGCTTTGACATGTTTCCTCTCTCTTGAAAATATCACTGGAGACCTCTGCCATGTTGCCAAGTGGTGCTACTCAAATCAACTGCTGATTAATCCCAGCAAAACCAAAATCATTGTGTTTGGAACCAGGCAGCTTTTTACATTTCTTTCTAAAATAATATGCATCTGGGTTATCACTTTTTAAGCACCTCTTTGAAGGCGGCTAAGTTTTGCTCATTGGGCTGCCTATTCCATAGTTGAGCTGACTGGTTTTATTACAAAGTCTGAGGTAACTTTGGGGAGGATAAAACATTTTTTTTCTGAGATCATATTTGCAGTTATACTTTTGGAAAAGTTCTTGTATACCTATTGGTGCAGAGAGGGGTTAACCAGTCTTCTTTATGTACAATTTTTGCGGCAGGGACATGAATTTTCTCAAGTTCTGTAAAGAGCATAGTACAGCAAGATCCCCATACAGCTTTGCAGAGGGGGGGCAAGCTAATTTTTGTGATGCCGTGATCGACCATTTTTGGTGTTCGTGAATCGTGATGTACTGAAAAACCGTTCTGTGAATCGGGATTGAAGTGCACTCTGTGAAACCTGAACTGTCAAAATCCTTGATTATTTACACATACGTTGAAGATCAATGTACCAGGGTTTGCAAATTTTATTGATGAGTAAAGTCAGTGTGACTTCTGCTTAACAAATTTTGGAGTCATTTTGGAATATTTGGATTCAAGTATCAGACTTTCCAGCGCGTGGTCCTGGCATGTATAAACTATTGTGAGGGAAACACGAAGTAACTGTGGCGGTTCGCTTACCTGGAAAGCTCAAATCCATGATGGCGGTCATCGAGTAAACTTTAATCGTAATTTATCCTCTTCCTGTTTTGTCATGCAGTATAATTCTTTAATTTCGTTGATTTGATTAAGGTTTTGAACAATTTTGGCGTAAAATTTGCCAAATTTGGCGTATTTGTGAACCCTGGCATATTGAAGAAAATAAATCGTTTAAGGCCAAACAGCCTTCACTAGCATCTGGTGGCTAGATTTAACTTTCCTTTCAAGGCTTTTGATGTAACTTCACACTTCAGTGTGCTCAGACTCCGGGGGAGGTACTCCCATACAGTACCTATACGGGTATGTGCCGCCCAACGGGGTCGTGATTTTGAAGCTCCTGATTTAGAACGGGGTATCCACTTCAGAGGTGTTTTCTAGAACAGGGTATAATATTTCGAATGCACGAAAGCTCCAGTTTTGTAAGTAGCCATTTGAAATTATTCAAGGACAGATTGCTTTTAAAAATACGGTTCAATGCGTTAACAAGCAAACTGTTGTACTCTTGTTGCACCCTAGACCGGAGTATAAAAAAACGGGCCCATTTCTAGAACGGGGTATCAGTTCTAGGGCGAATTGTAGAACGGGGTATAAAAAATTGGCCCATTTCTAGAACGGGGTATCAATTTTAGCGGAAATTTTTTTTAGAACGGGGTGTCAATTTGGGGTCCCAGGTGGCACATACCCACCCAAAAAATACCCAAGTTTGCGAAATTGTTCAGACCCACCAACAGCTGGCTTCTCCGGCAAATTTATAGCCACGCAGTGTTTTTCATGAGGTTCGTAAAACTCCAGTTACCATTAATATAATCGACAATATTATCTTAAATATGTTTTCTTACATATAATCGAAGCACTCTGTTTTACAAAATGGGATTACCGTAACGTTTTTGACATTTTGTACGACCTCTACTTTTGAGAAGCGTGAAAACGCAAATATTGGTTTCGTGACTCATGAAACGCGAAATTGTTCTTCGTGAACTCGTGATGAGAACCCCTCTTGCCCCTCCTCTATGCCACAAGTAACAGATGGTAAGATGACGTCCTTTAATTAAATTTAGGGTATGCTTATGTATTTGCTGTACATATATTCATTGTGTTGCAAAAAAAGTCATTTATCACTTACCCAGAACTGTCCTTTTCAAAATTTTTCGCAACCAACTTCATTTTCAGAGCATGCTTCAACGAACAACAGCTTGTAAAAGTTTTAAAACTCCACGATGTGGTTCATTTTCCGCCATCTTGTTTTTGGTAGAGACTTGAACTACGACGTATGTATGTGAACACGAAGTGTGAACAACTCGGTCCCAGCTTTCCCAAGCCCAGGCCTGGGTACGAGGTGTATAATTCCCGCGTAAAGTTACATCAGCCTCGTCCCCAAGCTGCGTTCCAGAAGACGAACAAAACGATGGCTTCGAATTCCAGGTACGATTCCTTTTTCTTTTCCTTCTTAATAGGTTATCGATGTATGATAATAACAAGTAGCCGACTAATATTTGTCTAAGTAGTATTCTTCAGCAAAGAAAGTTTTAGATGCGGTGGGACATTGCTCAGGGACATTGTCTTATACGTTGTTTGTACAGCGCGCGCGAATATTGGTACATAAACATGCGATTTGAAATGAAATGAACTAAACCCTGGAATACCGGAAATAACTTATTCGCCGTATTTGTGATGTGGAAGGAAACTAAGTCCTGTGAATGAGAAACGACGTGAATTATGTGGGAATGTATCATAAGATCGTGTCGATAAAACGGTGAAAATGCACATAAGCCGCCATTTAAGTGTACATACCTCATAAAGAGATGCAGCCTCTGTGGTTTTTTCTTACCGTTTCCTGCCCTAAAAAGGTTATTTTAGCAAGTTTTGATGTTTTATCGATCTTACGATATGCTATTAAATGTACCTTCGAGGATCGAGGCTGTTGTGTGTCTCGGGTCCTGTGGTCAAATTTCGATTAGTGATAGGTTTGTTACTCACTTCAGAGGAACAAACTAATATTTTGTCTTTTTATTTTAATTTTTTGCTAGAACTCAGGTTGCAAAAGAGGAATGTGTGATAGCAAATATAAATGCTAGTATAGTAGCTTTCAACCAAAAAACAGCATTTCGAATATACCTCCTACTGGCTGCCATTTTGTATCAGTGTTAAAAGCTTTGGAGTTCTTTTTGACCTAGGATATTATTACCTTAGTATTCTTACCTGTAATTTCTAGACAAATTTTTATTTTATTTATTTATTTAGTCACTCACAAAACCTTATACAACATGAACAAAGCTTGAAGCTTATATTAATAGGCTTCCTTCAACTACCTAATGAACTAAATTCATGGCTGAGTGCAGAGTGAGCAAGATCAGAAAATTAAGCAACAGATTGGCTATCAGTGAGATAATTCTTTAAATTTTTATTTAAAAACAAATATAGAAGGAGAGCTAATTAGTGAAATAGGCAACGAATTCCAGATTTTAGGTCCTTGGTAAAGGATACTGAATTGCTTTAAATTTGTTCTACAAAAATGAGGTCTATACTGAGAGGCTAGTCGAGTTTCGTATTGATGGACTTGATTACTACTTAGAACAAGTCACGAAAGCTACTAGGCAAAAGATTATGGTGATAAGAATACATAAAAGTAGCGACAGAATATGTCATGGACTTTAAGCTGGCTAAATAAAGGGGCTTATTTGCTAGATAGTGAGCTTTTGTTATGAACCGCACTAGACGCTTTTGCAAAAGGTAAATGCAGTTTAGGTTGGAACGGTAGGTGAAGGACCAGGCGACATTACAGTATGTTAAGAAGGGATATACAAGGGAGTAATGGGCGATTCCAGAAAATATCCATACCATACCACGGACGGCTTTTAGGATTTCCGAAGGGGAGGGGGGGTTCACGATTATGGAATTCTGAGGGCATGGGGGGGTATTTACGATTGGAAATCCGAAGGCATAGCGGAATTCCACAGGTGGGATTTCTGGAGTAGAAAGTGTCGAGTGAGTTCCTTGAAAACGCTATTGTTGTGGACTTTTGTAGTTCGTAAATAAACCACGAACGTATGACCGCGGAAGCAGAAGACAAGCATCGATAGATCAGACACATGTTTATGCTCATAACTTATAGAAGTGAACAGTAAAACGTGGGTTTCACATTAACCTTGATGAATTTCTTGTCACATGAAAAAAAAACGGAATATGTATCTTACTGCTTGCAAGTTTCTTGTTACTCCCGTCCGATGAACAGTAAAAAAACTCGCACCAGTCCCTGACTTCCAAGGAACGCCTGTCAGATTAGAACACTTTTCGTGCACACTACATGACGTATAAAAGGACGCCGCACGCCTCGACGGTCTATTTGACCACCGAAAGATTTTAACAGTCTGAATTCGACCTATTTTGCTTTGTAAACGTCAAAACAGCACAAGAAAACAAAGAGGAGTAAAATTGCCGTTAGTGGT